CGGCCGCGCGCATGGAGGCCGCGGCGGGGCCTTACCTCCGACCCTGTACATGTTGGCGGCCATGTCCGGGCCGGCGGCGGCGGGGCCGCGGGCGGGCGGGCGCGGGGCGCGGGCGGCCGGGCGGGCGCGGGCCGGGGCCGGGGCCGGGGCCGGGGCGGGGGCGGGCGCGGGGGCCGCCGGCGGGCGTTTAAAGGGGCCGCGCTGCTCCGCCGCCGCCGCCGCCGCCTCCGAGGCCGCCGAGGCCGCGCAGGGACGGGAGGGCCGCGGCGCGGGCGGGAGAGGAAGAGGAGGAGCGGCCGCGGGCGGCGGGGAGGGGCCTCGGGCGCCGCCGCCCACCGCGCGGGCCGTTATCCGACCCCGCGCCGCGCCGGCCCGCGCGCCCCTGCCCGCCTGGCCTCTCCGCAGCCCGGCGGCCGGCCGCGCGCCCTTGCCCGGCGGCCCCCCGGCGGCCCCTCGGCGGCCCGGGTGCCCTCCCGCGGCGCCTTCTGCCCTGCGGGCCCCCTGGACATCTCCAGGTGGCCGTCGCGCGCGCCCCTGCCCAGCCGGCCTCTTGGCGTCCCCGGATGGCCCTTCCGCACGCCCCTGTCCGGATGGGCCCTTTCCACATCCCTAGGTGGAGCACCCTGGGGCCTCCATGCCTGAGCCCTTCTTGTACCCCCAGGTGGATCCTACCCAGGCCCTCTGAGGCAGCCCCCCAGGGATCCTCTCGGTACTTTAGCCCTCCAGGCATTCCCAACCCCCTCCCTGAGTAGCCCACCTATCCTGGAGCACAGCAGTCCAGCCTGACCCCGGCACTTTCCTCCCAGGGCTAACTCTGCCACCCAATATCAGGGGGTTTGTGTCCTGCTGTTCATCTTCCAGCCCCTAAGGCCATCTCTGGACTTCAGTAACTGTTTTCCGGCCCCCCAGGGGCATGTTCCTGAGCTAGGGAGGCCTTCCCGAACTGTAGCCTGGTGGAAAGTCCAAAGGAAGGAAGGGTCTTGTGCCTAGGACCCCCTGCTGCAGGCCCCAGATGAGGCTGAACCCCAGCAAGGACAGAGTGCCTGGGGGCAGTTCCTCTGTAGGCACAGGGGCACCTCACACTTTCCAGCTCATCTCAGAATTCTCAGCTATGTTGATTTTTGAGCATTACTAAAGCTTGAGGAGAGTATATTGCCCAGATACCACCCCCAAGAGCTGAAGACAGGAGGTGGTCCCAAATGACAACAATCATGGTTCCTTCCAAACCATGTGGGGGAGGTGAGGCAGGTATCTGGGGGCTGGAGGTTGGTCTAAGGAACCCTGTGGTGCTGCCCAGGTTACCTGGACAGTGAAGGTCTGTGGCTGCAGGGAGACCATGTTCAGTTTGAAGGGCAACCCTATGGGACACCCTGGGAAGTACAGGTGTCTCTCAGAAGAGAGCCCTGGGCCACCATGCAGGATTTGGGCAGGTGGCCCAGGCCAGTGCGCTGCAGTCTCCCAGCACACACAGTCTCCCTGCATGATGCTGGGAGTCTAGGCGGGAAACCAATAGGAGTGCCGAGACCAAAGCCAGGAAGGGTCCAAGAGGGGTTCTGCCACAGTTGTGTGCTAAGAATGGAGTTGGAACTACCAGAGCTTGCTGTGAAGGGCTCCCAGGGAGAGTGGAGGGGTGCAGGACCCCAAGGTGCTTCCTTTTGTGTTTGATGGTGATTGATGTGCAGAGTGAAAGAGAAGTATAGGTACAAGAGGGCAGGTGATGATCCACAGTCTGTGTCTCCAAAAAAGGATAAGATGGAATGGGGGTCTCCCTCCCTCCCCACAGGCCTACGCCTCACACTCTTCCATAGCATAAGATTTCCTTCTACCAATTCCAGAATAACAGACCAAAAAAGTTAGAATTACCCAACAATTCCTAAGCAGCTGTCAGCCATGGAGAGAACATGGAAACATCACACTCCGTACCTCTGCATTTGCCTCCATCCCAAACAGGACAGGCTTCAATAAAACAATCACATCCTACAGGTGCCTGCTGAGGACTGTGACCCTTTCCCTCTCCCAGTGTGGGGGTGGACAAGAAAAACATGGCCGTCAGAGCTCAGGGCCCATTTCTCAGGAGGTACCCAAATGAATTCCAAACCAGCCCCACCAGGCCTAAGACACACTCCTCACACAGCAGAATGATGCTTAGGAAGCCTCAGAAGAGGCACAGGGTCCAGCTGCTGCAGGCCAGCTCACTCTGCCTTCCTCTCTCCAGATGAAAGGTGAATGGACAATTGCCTGCCCTCAACCTAGCTCAGAGACAGCCAGAAGATCTCAGGACTAAAGAATTAAAACATCTGGTAGCAAAGCAAATAGACATTCAAGCGAGGAGAGTGGCTTGTGCAGAGAGCAGGCATGCTGGCTCAGGAAGGGGCCTGCTGACAGACACGTGAGGAAATTCAACAGAAACACTAGAGGGAGAGAGGGTCAGGTAGGTGGAAAACCTGGCAGAGCAGAAAGTGCACCTGAAGGTTGGGGACCCAGCACAGGAGTGCTCTACGTATTAGGACCCTAATGAGAAACTAGGTCCAACAAAGAGGAGCCCAGAAATCTGCTGACCAGACAGCACAATGCGAGGAAGATTTAAGAGCCAAGGAACATAAGAAGGGTTCATATCACACCTCAGTAGAGTAAGTCAGAAGCAGTCAGGGTAGAACATCAGATTGCTAAGGGAATAACATTTCCAAGTCATTTCAGGGCAAGTCAAGCAGTTAAAGCAACTGACTCAGCTGTTATTTTCTGAATACATACTTTAAGCTGCAGACCACTCTCAATGCTGGAGGATAAGGACATAAAGTCTCAGCCCTGGAGAGCTGACAGTCTAGCAGCAGGCTGGGGACACGTGGTATATAATGTCTTATGGTAAGTGTTTTTGAGACAAAATGGTGAGGGTACAGATTCAGGATCAGGACAGAGAGGGGCACTCTTCAACTCAGGAGTCAGCAAAGGAGAACCCATGCAGGTGGGCAGGGGCCCAGAGGACACTTGGCAGGGACACATCCCTGTGCAGGATCCTTTGGGGCCTGGGGGATTTGGCCTTTGCTTCTGTGATCTGATCGTTGCTCAGAAGGATCCCTGAGGCTGCACAAGGCACTGGGTTCTGGAGGTAGATGAGTTTCAAAGAGCCTGCAAGAAAGTCTCCTTGGAATAACAGCAGAGCCTTCTCAGGAAAGGCCACAGCATGTTCCAGAAAATCAGAGTGTCATGAATCACACTTAGACCTGTTATTTGTCTTGCCTGTTACTAAACTTCAACAATTAATGGAACCCCCTTCTCCTAGGAAAAGTGTATCACCAACAAGGACAAAAAAATCATATTGGCCTCTATTTTTCCCAGAAGCATTTTCAAAGTTTGAAGACATAGTCCTTAGGAAAATAAAGTAGAACACAAGAATTCTTTCTCCAATTGTTCATGCAAGTATAGACATCAGTATGAGAAATGCTACTCAGGAGGATCACAAATTCAAAAGGAGCCCAGGCAATTTTGCAAGACATGTCCCAAAGTAAAAAGGACTAGAGATGTAGCTCAGTGGTAGAGCACCTGCCCAACATGTGTGAGGCCCTGGGTTCCATCCCCAGTACTAAAAAAGAAAAGATTTTTTTCTTTAAAAATTTAAAGCCATGTGCAGTGGCACACAATTGTAATCCTAGCTACTTGGGAGGCTGACGCAGGAGAATCACAAGTTTGAGGCCTCAATGACTTAGTGAGACACTGTCTCAAAATGACAAATAAAAATGGCTGGGGATATAGCTCATTGGTAAAGCACTCGATTTCAATCCCCAGTACACATACACAACCTTGACCTTAAGTCTAGCCAATAAAAGACCTAAATCAAAAGAAGGAACTTGAGTGGTCTGGTTCTGGTCGTGAACTCACTGCAGGCATCAGAGTACAGAGAATGTGACCAGGCTCAGGGTGGGTTAAAAATACCAAGACTCTGGCCAGCATGGACCAGCAGGGCAGGCAGAAGAGGTGGGGAGTCTCAGCAGGGTCCTCACCACTCAAAGCCAGACATCAGCTAGTACCGTCTAATTAAACCATGCTGCTGAAAAACAGGACACCCTTTCCTAATGATTCTTCATTCCTAAAAATAATTTAAGAATTCTTGAAGCTTGAGAGTGAGAAGCAGTCGTGTGATTTCAGCAATAGTTTTTCTATCTTAAAATATTAAGTATTTTAAGATGTCTCAGTGATTTCTGTATTTCCACATACCCTTCCATCTCGTAATCTAGAAACAGCTGCAATAACCCTCCCGGAAAGTTAACTGCAGTCATTTCAGTGATCGAATTGTGAGCCAGTTTTAAAAAACATATTCTTTGTTGCACTGTTTAATCACGGACAAGTATTTGCAAAGCCAATAAAGTCATTTCTTTTAAACGGGGGCAGTGGTGGCACTGTGTAGGCACTCAGCAAAGCTGCAAACTACATCTCCCAGGCACCCCGACCGGTCCTGCGCGCTGCGTGGGGTCAGCTCCCGGATGGGCCGCCAGCGCAAGGCCCCTTCGGCTTCAGGTGAACACAGGGGGCCGCTGCTCCCCATCCGGAGCCAGCCAGTCACAAGCCGAGAAGGGTGTTGGGGACGCAGGGAGATTCCGCGGCCAAGGCTGAGCGAGCATGCGCTTGAAGACCGTTTGTGTGCGCGCGCGCGCGCGCCCACCCGCGGCTCCGTTCTGGGTGTCAGTCCTGCTCCAGAAGCGCGCAGGCGCTCAGCCGCCGGGGTCGCCCAGGGGCCGGGTGGCGGGACGCACTCACGTGAGTCCCGGGTAAAGACAGGAACTGACCTGGTGGCCAAGCAGAAGTGAAAGCAGTCTAGAAGCATGGTGTTGCAGTGACTAGAGCCAGACCTAACCGCACTGCGGCTGGGGACTTTGGCTGCGTCCCTGTGCACGGTTCCTTGGATCCTTCCCTCCTCGAATCCTTCCCGGCGTCTCCAGCCTCCCCAAGACCTTTCTGTTTATCCTAGGACGAAAGCCCCCTGTTGCTGTGAACTCCTACTCACCCCAAGGTAGGTCTCTCTCAAGTGAGCCCCTGACTCCCCAGACCCTCCTCTATTCCTGGATTTCCCAGCCGGGCCACCCCTGTGCACTGGCAAACCTCAAGCAGCACCCTGGCCTCTGCCCAATGGGTACTCTGGTGGTACCCTGAGGGAGACATCAGGCTCCCCTTCCTAAAGGCCCATGTCCTGTCTTTGTGTTGTGTGAGAGAGAGAGACAGAGACACACCAGGGATTGAACCCAGGGGTGCTTAACCACTGAGCCACATCCCCAGCCCTTTTACTTTCTGAGTGTCTTGCTAAGTTTCTTGGTGCCTAAATTGGTGAGGCTGGCCTGGAACTTGAGATCCTCCTGCCTCAGCCTCCCTAGTTGCTGGGATTACAGGCATGCACCATAAAACACTCATCTATGATAATCTGTTACAGCAGCAGTAGGAAACTGATACATGGCCTCTTCTTCCCAGGTGTGGTAAACACACTGCCCCAGGCACTGCCATCTTTCCTGGCACCTCACTGTCCTGGAGAGGGCGTGCACTCAACGCTGATCCCCACTGTGAGATGGGTCTCATTTCCACTGAACAGGGCTGGCTCTGTGGCCATGTCAACCACTAGGAGGTGGCAGATGAACCCACATGGGTCAGCTCAGCCCCGACCCCAAGACTTCAGCTTATGCTGCTGTGGTGGGTAGGAGCTCTGCAGGAACCCTATGAAGTCAGCATCTCACCTGGCTGCAGCCTCAGGAGACTCCCCAGGTGAGACCAGAATTGGTAGGATGAGCCCAGTCAGCCCCCAGCCATGAGTGAAAATAACACGGAATCTTTTAAAGTCACTCAGAACTACACAGCAGGCGACCTCTGTGGTGACCGTTGGCACTTAGCTCCCACTCTGCCCTGGGATGACTCTTGTGTGTTTCCCTGGCCCAGAGCACCCCAACTCCCACATCTTTGTCAGGGGCCTCAGGAGGGGGAGGGATTGTGATGTTCCCCTTCCCCAGGACCCTGTCTGAACCCCACCTCTTAGATCCCCTCCACCAGTCCCTGTGGCTCCATGGCCTGCCCTCCACCCACCCTGGGGATCCTGACAAACAGATGGGACAAAATTACATTGAACTGGAAAGGGAGTGCCCAGCTGGGTGATGTAGGTAGGCTTCCTGAAGGAAGAGGAACTTTCACTGCGTCTTACAGTGAGGGAGGCAGAGAAGCAGGAGGAATGTTGAAGGGCAGCAGGCACCATATGGCCAGATCTGCACCTCAGCCTGGGCTCTGGGACAGCACTGCCTGTTTGCCAATGTGTGCACGGTCCAGGTGGCTGTCACCTCCTCTCAACCCAAAGCCCCTCACCAGTCCTGCCCCCGCAGAAGCCCAAGCAACCCCTAAGTCGGTCACTGAGTCCAGGGCCACCTCCTCACACTTCATCCTGCCAGCCAGCAGGGCTGGGAACCCTCCCTCCTTTCCCTGTCTCCCACCCCCAGGCCCCTCCAGCTCCATCGCCTCAAAATGCAGCCTGGATTGTCACCCTGGCTCAGAACCCTTCTGCAGTCCCACGCCTTGAGACCAGGCAGTTATGGCTCCAGCCTAAGGCCTGGGGCCACTTGTCCAGCCAGCTTCTCAAGGCCACCCCAGACCCTCTATGCACCCTAGTCCACCTCCAGGTACACTTCCAGAGCTGGGAGCTCTCTTCCTCAGGAAACCTCCCTCTGTGTGCCTCACCCAGCTGCCCCACCCCCACCCCACATCACTGCTGGGTCCTGGAATCCTGTCTGGGCCTTCAAAGGCAGGACCAAGGCTCCAGAGGTGCTGTCAGCCCCAGGGTGGGGCACCTGGCACCCAGGTGCCCCAGAACTTCCTCCTGACAGCGTAAGGTAGGCCTCCATCTGCCGGCAGGACCCTCTGCCCCTCACCTTCCAGGTGGTGGAGGCTGGGGCAGGACCCCTCCCTGGCAGCTGCCACACCTCCCAGCAGCCCCAGGCAGGCAGTACTTTGAGGCCTGTTTTCTCCCTGGTGAGACACAAGGACACAGAGGTCTCCCCCAAAACCTCCCCACGGAGAAGCTCTGGAAAGCTGAGGTCCGAGAGCTCCTAGGAGCCGGGAGACCCCGAGGCTTGACTCTTCAAAGTCGCACTCTGCCAGAAGGGCGTGCTCCTGGCCAGGAAGTCGTAGAAGGCATTAGTGGACTCAGCAGACCTGGGTGGCTGTGCGAGGAGCACATCCTTGTCCACATCCTCAGACACCAGCTCTGCCACCATCTGCGTGATGTCCTGCGGGCGACATTGGTGTCAGGGGCTGTGTGGGCAGGGAGGCACAGGGACTGGGCAGATGAGGCCAGGGACAGGGCAGCCTCCCCGCCCACCACACACCCTGTCTTGGGAGGGGGTGCCCAGCATGGCCAGCCGCCGGCGCTCATCAATGCTGATGCTCCAATGGCGGCGTGGGCGCCTGTGCTCCTGTGGCTCACACACCTGTGGGGACAGGACAGGATGGTGCGGGCACACCTGGGGCCTCCGCTCCCCTTCCCCTGCACACAGTGAGCTCACTTAGCCTCCCCGCTCCTAGTGGGCGGCGGCACGTGGCACCCCGGGGCACCTCCCAAGTTCCGCAGTGTCTGTCCCTAGGCTTACAGTGAGGGCTGCAATGTTCAGAGCTAGAAACGGCCTCCAGGACCCTGGGCACAATTACCACAGGGGCCCAGGCTGGGCCAGAGACGGTCAGTCGGCCTGTTGTGCACCTCTCAGAAACACTGGACTCGAGAGACAGACCCCATACATCCCCCCAGTCCCCTCTAAGGTGATACGCGGGGTGAGGTAGAGTGGTGCTGCTCGTGAATGCACAGGAGGAGGAGAGGTACAGTGCAGGAAGGCCATCCATGTGCGCAGGAGACCGGAGGTGGTGACCAGCAAGAGGGCCAGGAAAAGGCCAGGCACGCCTGCAGGGAGAGGCCAGCAGCATGTCCCCACCTTCCCAGTGGGCAGGCCGTCTGCCCCATGAGTGGAGGGGCACCTTCTCACCTTCTGGAAAGGGGAGGGGTGCCACGCTGAAGACAGCAGGCAACCCAGCCCCGCAAAGCCCTACTCAGAAAATCAAACCTCAACAACCCCGTGCCAGCCGCTCTGCGGTGGGCACATGTCCATGGAATGAAAAGCAGGGACTGGACAGGTGTGTGCACAACTCCATCCATAGCATTGTTTTCAGTAGTCGAAACATGGAAACCCAAGTATCCATCAAGGGATGTAAAAGAGACAAGGGGCCAACCACACAAGGGAACATTATTCAGACTCAAGAAACTAGGAAACTTGCTGGGCGTGGTGGCGCATGCCTCAGCTACTTAGTAAGGCCCTCAGAAACTAGCAAGGCCTTAAGCAACTGAGGGAGACCCTCAGTCTCAAAATAAAAAGGGCTGGGGATGTGGCTCAGTGGTTAAGCACCCTGGGTTCAATCCCAGAACCAAAAAAAAAAGAGAGAGGAGAGCCCCCAGCTCCATTATGCTAAGGCGAACCCTCCAGGGACAAGCTTCGCCAAGCACACAGCATTTGCACAAGCACTGCTTTGGGAAACAGGGCCGGGCCTCCCAGGGCAAGGGACACTCAGAGAGGCATCCCAGGAACCACCAAGCACAGGTCCCTACTGACACTGCCATCCTGGGAAGCAGACAGACCCATGAGCAAGGGCAGGAAGGTATGGAGAAGGGCCACTAAGAGGACAAGACTGGTTCTTCCACATGAAACACTCCATGGGAGGTAGGCTGGGGGTCCCTCTGTTTTTTTGTGGTGCTGGGGATGGAACCCGAGGCATCAGTGCATTCAAGGCCAGCACTCTACCAGCTGAGCTATGTCCCCAGCCCTGGTGTTTGTTTTGGTAGTAGGGACTAAACTTAGGGATGCTTTACCACTGAGTTGCATTCCAGTGTTTTTTTGTTTGTTTGAGATGGGGTCTTGCTAAATTGCTAAGGCTGACCTGGTACTTGTGATCCTTCTGCCTTAGCCTCCTAAGCAGGGGGGCTGGGATTACAGGTCTGCACCACTGAATCTGGCTGTCGTTTCTATTCTTAGCCCTGTTTCTGTAATTGAATTGTACACCTCCCCTCTAATATGTGGTCTCACAGTGCTTCCCCTAGAGTTTCTCTTCCTACCCTGATGATGTTACTCCCAGAAGGGGTATATTCTCACAATATGCTTGTGTGAAGTAGGCTGGCCTTCTGTGTTTCTTCCAGGAGCCTGAGAACAGCAGGCCCTAGGAGGAGCACCAAGAGGGGAATGCAGAACACACACAACCCTGCTGTTCAGGTCCACGAGCAGAAAACAAAATGGAAGTTCACTATGCATCACTAGAATTATGGAGCTGCTTGTTATAGAGCATCATTACAGCAAATGCTGACTAATGCAGGACTGAAAATAAGATACAGAAAACATTTATAAAAAATGAGGAAGATGGAGAACTATTCCTGTTGGGCCAACATACAACTAACAAACCTTGAAGAGAGAGAAAATGAACTCACACACACAACACGCACACATGTGCTTTTCCCAGAAACTAAAGGAAAAGGCCCCAGTCAGAAAGCCCCCACCCAGGGCAATGAAAATAAATGCCTCCCCAGAGTACATTCCAGAACTCTGACAGGCACGGAAGCTTTCAGGGAAGAAACGAAGCACAGGGCTGGGAGCACAGCCTATGCAGCTCTTGCCTACGTGCTTCAGGCCCTGGGTTTGATCCCCTCCACCACAAAACAAAAACAAACACAAACAGGGTAGAAAGATCCGAAGTCCAAAAGTTCAGGGCATCACACAGCAGCCCTAGAAACCAGAGGTGATGGGGCACTTAAGAGTCCCGCAGGAAGAGCCTCTCCCACCAAACATGCCACCAGTCAAGCACCATCCGGAGCTCACCTGAGACCTTCAGCACCCTGTGAGCCCCTCTGGGGGAAGCTGCTGGGTGGTGTGCTCTAGGGTCAACAGGCAAACAGAGAAAGCAGGGCCAGGACATGGGCTGCTGAGGAAGACAGAGGGTGACAGCCAGGGCCTGAGGAGGGTCACTGCCCAGCCTCTGTGAGAGGACCTGCAGAGATGTGTTGTGAATTTGGGAAAGGACTGATCATCAGTTCACAGAAAATAGAAAAGAGGAGGCAGGAGGGAAAGAAGAGGGGAGAAACAAGAAGGGTGTGGACAATGCTCACTATCACTACAGGGCCAGTGGTGGCAGCTGACAGGTGTGATCTGGGGGCAGAGGGCAGAAAAGTGTGGTGCTGGGAGTGGGTTGCTCGGGCCTTAGCTTCCCCGGCGGGAGAGCAACAGAACCCAAAGCTGAGAGCTGGAAAGGCAGCAGCCCAGGGTGCAGGCTCCTACAGCCCAGGGGACGGCTGCCCTACAGGCAGAGCCACCCGACAGACAGGACAATCAGAGAACTCATGTCTGCCGAATGTATGGGACAGTCACAAAGTCGGTCATGATGTAGGCCACAAGCAAAGCAGGTCCTCCCACACACTACAGATGCCACAACAAATCTGTGACTACGACACAGTATAATTAATTAAAAATTACTAATAAGCCAGGCACAATGGTGCATGCCTGCAATCCCAGTGACTTGGGAAGCTAAGGCAGCAGGTTACCAAGTTCAAGGCCAATCGGGGCAACTTTGACCCTTTTCCAAAATGAAAAATTGAAAGGGCTGGAGGTGTAGCTCAGGGGTAGAGCACTCCTGCGTTCAATCTCTGCAGAAAACAAACACAGGCCACTCCTATTGACACAGACATTCCAAAACACCCTTCTAATTGACCCCAGAGTGAAAAAGAAAATCAAGGTTGAGATGTAAATTTATTAGAAATGAACAATGAGAAGAGGACACACCAAAACCCATGAAGGGTGGCCAAAAATGTCCTCTAAAGGCACTCTATATCTTTAAATGCATTATTAGAAAAAAGTTCCGCAGTGGCCAAGCAAATCACTTGAGAAGCTAGAAAAGGAACAAAAGAAATTTACTGAAAGTTTAAAGATGGAATTACGGTAGATTAGTGAATAAGTTAAAAGAAAAAACAGTGGACAATAATCACAAATGGATTCTTTGAAAAGCCACATGCTCACCATCCCACGCACAGCCATCTTTCCACTCATGTTCAGGGTCCGTTCAGCTTCTTCTTTCAGAACTGCATGTCATCGCAGGTTTTACCCACTTTTCTATTCAGTCTGGTTTGTTTGGGGGGCTTGTTTTCTTGTCGTGCTGGGAATGAAACCTTCCCTAAGCAGAACCACACAGGTAGTCTGCCTTCCCCTGCTCGGGAATATCCATGGGTCTGCACAGCGGTGTTGGTCCCTTTCACCATCATGTGAACCAAGGCACAAATCTGGGCTTGTTTGAACCCAGGGGTACTTAACCACTGAGCTTGGCAAGTGCTCCAACACTGAGCTGCACCCTGAGTCCTCTGTTCGGTTTTCACGACAGTTTTCTGACAGCTTGCAAGCATCCCTTCATAGACACTTGACTGTTTAAAGATTACAAGTATTTCCTTCCAGAATGTCATTTAACATTTTTATGTCCTTGATTGTGCCATAATTTAAAAATCTGTTAGGCTTTTCCTCCAAGGATTGTACGTCTGGCCTAAGAAAGGCATTTGTTACTCTGGGATTCTAAACACTTTGGCGTCTCCAGTGCTGCTATGGTTTGGGTTAAATGCTATGTGTTTCAGAAGAAGTGGGGGTTCACTCTGCCATGTTCTAGGTGGATAGCCAACCATCCCACTACCACTTATTGAAAAGTATTTCCTGCTGCTTTGAAATTCCACGCAGAAATTAAACCTCCAGATTAAAAAGTGATATGGGTCACTTTTTCTTCTTTCAGTACTAAGGATGGATCCCAGGGCCTTGCACACGCTAGGCAAGCGCTCTACAACTGAGCCACCCTCCGGCCCACAAGTGTCACTTTGACACCCATCTGTCCTAAATTGGGCAGGTATTTGCCACTTTCTGCCCCAATACCACACAATTTTAATTGCTAGAGCTTAGAGGAGGCAAGGACTTTTGTTTCTGTTGCTCAGGCTGGGTGCCGTGGCACATTCCTGTAATCCCAGCGGCTCAGGAGGCTGAGACAGGAGGATCACAAGTTCAAAGCCAGCCTCCACAAAAGCAAGGTGCTAAGTCACTCAGTGAGACCCTGTCTCTAAATAAAATACAGAATGGGGCTCAGTGTCAAGTGCCCCTGAGTTCAATTCCTGCCAAAAAAATTGTTGCACGGTTTCTTTCTTTATAAAGTAAAAATTTTACACATATATTTTAAGAAATATCTTATTGTCAGTGAACTTTATTTATTTATATGCAGTGCTGAGAATCAAACCCAGTACCTCACACATGCTAGGCAAGTGCTCTACCACTGAGTCACAACGCCAGCCCTACATGTATTTTTTTAAATTAGATTTTAATGAATATATTACCAATATTACTTTTCCATGTTTTTGCTCCGTCCTATGGAGCAGGTATCGGCACAAACAAATTTGCTGAATTTGACACAGAGTGTGCAGTAAACTGGCGGCTACTTACAGTCCATCCCCCACCCTGGGCTGGAATACTGCTGTTCTCCACACATTCACATGGGCGGCGCAGGATCTGGTTATTCCTAGTCCCCTCCACCCCTTATTTTTTTTTAAGTTGTCAATGGACCTTTATTTTATTTATTTTTATGTGGTGCTGAGATTCGAACCCAGGGCCTCACACATACTAGGCAAGTGTTCTACCACTGAGCTACAACCCCAGCCCTCCCAGTCCCCTTGATGAAGCCATTCTTTCAACTGGAGCATTCAGTCCACATTCATTTGCTAAACTGAATGCCAGGTGAGTGGCTCTGTCCGCTTCTCACCTAATGCTTTCTGTCCCTTTTGCCTGTTTGCGTTTCTTGGTTGGTGCCTCATGCTTCCTTCTGCGACCACTGCATGTGGTTTCTGTCCCATCTTCCCTTCCCCTGTGGGGCCAGGGCTCTTTCTATTCTTGGGTGCAGTCACAGTGTACATGCAAAACCAAAGTCCAATATTCCCAAATGGTGCAAGACCCAGAGGCCTTGTGTCCAAGCCACTGTGGTGGGTACCGTACCCCAAGCAGGCTCTGTGACTGACACCCAGTGATTGTTTGAACCCAGGGGTACTTAACCACTGAGCTCGGTACTTAACCACTTAACCATCGGTGCTCGTTTCGATCTCCCCAAAGACTTGTGTTTCACTCTCATTCCTGGTCTACTTCACGCCTTCTGAGATCACTGTCTTCCTCTTTGAGGTCTGTCCTCAGAATTGATATGAGAGTCTATGGGGGGACTGGGGATATGGCTCAAGTACTAGTGAGCTCGCCTGGCATGCATGAGGCACTGGGTTCAATCCTCAGCACCACATAAAAATAAAATGGAGATATTATGTCCACCTAAAGCTAAAAAAAAAAAAAGAAAAAAAGAGTCTATGGAGGATGAATTGCTTTTTGTTTATCACTTTCATTATTTTATTTATTTTGTGGTGCTGGTGATTGAACCCAGGCCCTCATGCATGCTAGGCAAATAAATACTTTACTGAGTTAAGTCCCAGCCCTTTATCTGGCGGTACTGGGAAACAAACCCAAGAGTGTTCTACCACCAAGCTACACCCCTAGCCTATTTATTTATTTGAGACAGGATCTCCCTAAATTGCTGAGGCTGGCCTTGAACTTGAGATCCACTTGCCTCAGTCTCCTGAGTCACTGGATCACATGCATGTCCAACAACTGTCCTATATTTATCATTTGAAGTCAAGTGATAACTTGCCTTCTCTGTAGAAGATACCTATGCCAGGCAGAATTTTTTTCTTTTCTCTCGGCCTACATGTGGTACCCTCTCTGTAACAAGCTTCCACAGACTTTTTCTTCTTTTTTTTTTTTTTTAGGTCCCACTGTGTGCCCCAAGCTGGCCTCAGACTCTCAATTCCCTTGAGGGGTTCGGGTCACACATCCTATGGCTGCCGACTAAAGGTAGCTGTCAAGTCCCTCTGCTTCCTCTGCCTGCCTCTGAGAGACTTGTCTCTGGACCCTGCAGGACCACTGTGACGGCTCGGGCTTGGGGTAACTTAGGCCACTGGGCTTTGCTGGGCCGTCCAGGACAAGGTCTGATCACCACCGACCTCCAGAGCACATCCAAGGACTTGCACATGGATCAGCCTCATGTCGCCCCCTCCCAGGTTCAGGAGGGAGGACCAGCGTGAGAAAAGATGCTGCAGAGATGATGGAGTGTGACTTCCAAGGTCACCTGCAGAGCCCTGGCTGCTTGCACTTGGCTCTCACTCCCTCTGGGGGAAGCCAGCCACATGCTGGGAAGACACACAGCCTACTGTGTGGAGATGTGTGGTCAGGATCTGTGGCCTCTGCCAATATCCAACCCCGACCAAGTGAGGGAGTGCTGTGGGCACAGCCTTAGTCCAGCTTTCAGAGGGACTGTAGCTCAGACTGACATCTTGACAACAACCTCCTGACAGACCACATCAAGGCCACCCAGCTAAGCAGAGTTCCTGGCCTTCAGAATCCAAGGCAAAATATTGTTTCAAGCCACTAAGTTTTGGAGTTACTGTTTATGTAAGAATGTATAACTAATATGCCAGCAAAACACTATGTGTACCTAGAGTAAAATTTTCAAGATCCATGAAATTTTGTTTGTCCGTCCATTCCAGGGATGGAACCCAGGAGTGCTTAACCACTGAATTACACACTTAGCTCTCTTTATTTTTTGAGATAAGTTCTCGCTAAGTTGCTGAGGCTGGCCCTGAATTTATGATCCTCCTGCCCCAGCCTCCTGAGCTGCTGGGATTATGCGTATGCACCACTGTGCCCAGCATGAAGTTTGTTTTTTTAAAAAACTGGGATTGCATTGAATCATGTTTTTGAAACTTAGCAGGCTTAAACCTTAATAATGGAGCCAGGCATGGTGGCACCCAGCCCATAATCCCAGCAATTTAGGAAGCTGAGGCAGGAGGGTCACTGGCTAGCCTGGGCAACTTAGTGAGACCCTGTCTCAAAAAATAAAAGGGCTAAGGATATAACTCAGTGGTACCCCGGGGGTTCAATCCCCAGGGCTGCACACATGCATAAAGTAAGATTAACACCTAAAACTTCTCGTCTTGTGAGGTATCTGTGTATTGCTCAGCTACTCAGTGCTCCTCACAGAGGTATGTGGCCAGGGCTGCCCGAGTGCTGCCACAGCGAGCAGGAGTCTTCCCAGGCTTTTCTGACTGTTTTTTTCAGGCTATTGAAACTAGGGTTTCACCCATAGCAGCTACTCAAGCCTTCTTTCATTCAGGAGTATGGAGTTGTTCCTTGGCTGGGGGAGGGTGTTTCTAGGTAGAGAAGACCTTGTTGTGAATAGTGGCCTTTTCATCTTTCCTGCCCTCCCTTCCCTGGAGTATGGACACCCTTCCCATCTGCTGGGTGGGAGCCAGGGTGGAAGCCCTGCTGGCCATTTGTGCTTCTGTGGCCAGGCTGCAGAGCTGAAGGAGGAGGCAGAAGTCCAGTACTTTTAGTGCAACACACTAATTCCGGATGCCCCTGTCCAAGCACGGAGCTCTCTCTCCATCTTCAGGGATCTGTGATTCTTTGGCAGTATTTAAAAGTCACCCTCAGGAAGGTTTTGTACACTTTTTAAATTTACTACTAGTACTACTGTAAGTGGCCTTCTTTGCCAGTTTGTTTTTTTTTTTTTTGGCCTTCTTTTTTAAAAATTTTTTTAGCTGTTGATAGACTTTTATTTTATTCCTTTATTTGTATGCGGTGCTGAGGACAGAACCCAGGGCCTCACACATGCCAGGCAGGTGCTCTACCGCTGAGCCCCAGCCCAGCCCGTGTGTTATCTTCTTGAGCCTGCTATTGGGTCTGTAAAGGCTACTAACTTCCCAACCCTCTTTCTGTGGATGGATTCCAGTCAATGCCTCTAGACTGATCAGGACATGGTTTCCAAACAGGGCTGACTTCACATGTCTGGTGCTCCATGGCTGGTCACTTACAACTCCGGGGGAGGAAAGGCAGACCCTGGCATGAGGACAGAGGGAGGTGTATGGCTTCTGCTGCCTCACTCACCTGCCCGGCCTGCCCAGTGGTAACCCTGGTGCACCCCCAACCCCAGTCCCAGTCCTGCAGCTCCCAGCTTCCTTACAGCACTACCACCACCACCCCTAGCCCCCCACCCTTCTACTAGCTGTCATTAAGCACAAGTGCGACAGCTGGAGCTTCACCCACTGGTCTAGGCTGGTGGTCTGGAGACCCTGTGCTGGGGAAGACCTCCTTGGCCTGATGTCAGCCCAAGGCTGCTCATCTTTGTGAGTATGTTCTGGCACCACGCATGGCACTGGGGGCTGTAGTCAGGCACAGCAGAGGCAGTGGCTCTTGAGACCCAGGTTGGGAAAGGGGAAGGATGAAGGACTTAAGTTAGCCTGGGAGGTGACACCGGAGAAGAGGCCAATTAAGGGAAGATCTGGAAGAAAAAGATTCTACATCCAGGGGACAGAAAGTTAGAGAGGGCAGTCTGGGTGCCTTTCAGGGCCACAGTCAGAAGCAAGGGAGAGGCCAAGGAACTTTGCACAGGAGCAACCCTGGAAGGACCCAGGTGTGAAAGACACTGCAGTGTCTCCTCCTGTCCCTGCTCTCTCTGCCGCAAGGCCCTGGGGTTTGTGCAAAGCTAGCCCAGGCCCACTCCTCCTGTGTACCTACTGGCTATACCACCTATCAGAAGGCAAGTCCCTCAGTAGCTAAAGGGTCTTGCTGGTCCCTCACCCCAGTGGCCCCAGTACTGGGTCCCACATAAGGAAGTACCCAGGAGGGCACAGAGCAGTCATGCAGGCAGCTCAGAGAGCCTTCTTACTCCCCCCCTTGACTTCAGTGGACACACGTGCTGGACACACACAGACCCAAATGCATGACTCAAAAGGCTGCCTGCACTGTCTGCCTGCAGGACCAGCACCTGGCAGCCTGGGAGGCCCTTGAGCTCCTGTCTTACAGAAGTATGGACCTGTCTGGCCTGGCTTTGAACCTTCCCTAAGCGGAACCACACAGGTAGTCTGGATTCCTCGGCTCAGGGAATGCCCATGGGCAGGCACAGCTGGATCTGTCTGTCTCTCTCAATACTGTGGGAACCAAGCACATCCCTGCCCTGGAAGCTTGTTCTCCCTCCAATTCAAGATACTCTCTTGGCCAGGAGTGAGGGGCACTGGACATCTTCCCGACCTCGGGTGGGCCTCCACTCTGCCCGGCATAGAGAGGCAAAAAGGGTACAGGATGGTGGGGAAAGAGCATACTGCCCCTCTGTCTCCATTCAGGCCCCTGTATTCCCTGCCTGATCCCCTCCCCAACTAGCCCCCGCAAAGTCCGGGTTTCCAGAGGTGGCCTCCTCTTACTTACCCAGTCCTGCGTTTGCAATCCGTGCTGGTTACTGCTCTGGGCACCCGGTTGGCCCCTGGTCCTAGACTGGCCCCCAGGGGGAAAGGGCTGCCTATGCTCTTGAGTGGGCTGTGACTGCTGTGCCCACAGCTGCTTGCTGTCCATCTTGACCCTCAGCAGGCTGTGGGTCTTCACCTCTGAGGCTCTAGGGGAAGGATCAGGATCAGGTGGGGTAGGGTCCCCAAGGCTCCCAGGGCCCCTTGGTAGATGGCAGGCAGCAAGTTAGGCCACCTTCCAGCCACTAACCAGACTGTTGCCCGATGGCTGGCCCCTGTGAGCAACATGCTCCTCACTACTCCTGTGGCCACTGCCCTCCACATCAGCATCCCAGTCAGAAGCCTCCGCTGTCTGTTGTCTCCAGCCCTGGCTCCTAGCACCAACCCTCCACCATCTTGCTCCTTGACCTGGCTTCACCACACCCAAGGCTCAGGCCTCAGTCTCCACCCCCTGGGGGTCTGTGCTGAGAGGGAGGGACACAGGAGGAGAGAACAAGATGCATGTTGGAGAGGGGAGGAGTAGGCCCAGTGGGTCCCAAAACCGTAAAAGCGGGAATAACTGGGGAGGTGAGGCCCTGAGACTGGGCTGTGGGGTCCTGGAATGGAGGAGCAGGGTCCTATGGAGGTACTGTATGGAGGTACTGAGAGGTTCAGCGGGGTCCTATGAAGGGCGGTCCTGTGGGGATGTAGAGGTTTGGTGGGGTCCTGTGGAGGTACAAAGAGACTGGCAGGGGGTTCTAGAGGGAACAGAGTGGCTCTGCGGTGTCCTGCGGGGGTACAGAGTGGCTTTGGGGGGTCACCAAGTAGCTGGGCGGGGTCCTCTGGGGGCAGGACGGGCCTCTGCAGGGTCCGGTGACAGCGAGGCTGGCTCTGTGGTCCTGTGGGGGCTGGACGGGCTCTACGTGTCATTGGGAGACTCTGCGGGGTCCTGTGGGGGCGGGGCGAGCTCTACAGGTCACCGCGGGGCGGGGTCCTGTGGGGTTGGGGCGGGCTCTGCGGCGTCACAGGGAGGCCCTGCGGGGTCCTGTGGGGTTGCGGCGGGCTAGGCAGGGGTCACTGGGAGGCTCTGCGGCGTCACAGGGAGGCCCTGCGGGGTCCTGTAGGGATGGGGCGGGGCTGGCTCTGCGGCGTCCGGTAGGGGCGGGACGCACGCACCGCGGCTTCGCGCGGCCGGAGGGGCAACCTCTTGCCCCGGAACTTCCGCCCGCAGGCCCCACCCCGCGGGCTTCGGGTTCGGCCTGCCGCGCTTGCGCCAGCCGGCCCCGGGCACGGCTGCTCTTGCGCATGTCTGCTCCCTGGTTCGCAGAGAGGAATAACGCAGTTGGGCGGCGTGAGTGCCCTCAGTTTATTAGTGTCGCTTCAGCACCTTAAAGTCGTCCACATGGTCACATGGGACAGATTAGCATCAGCTCCTCGAAAAGCTATTTACATTAATTTTGCTTCCCATTAAAAAGGAAAACTAGCAACACAAACACTGTAGAAACCAGTCACAACGAACAGGAGGGGGCGCCCACAAGCCAACTCGGCCCGCTGGCCCCCCCAGGACCCACAGCCCGGGGAGGGTTGGCGAGCCTGTAGAGTCCGGCGGCCTGGCGGCCTGGCTCCGGAGGAAGTGGCTCGGACGTTTTCATGAGGACATCGTTCGGAGACGCAGGTCACAGACGGCCAGGTCATTCAGGGGTGAGGACAGCGCGGCAAGGCCACCAGCCCCCGCACAGAGGTCTCCACCTCGCGTCCAGGTGCTGACCGAGGACCCTGGACTGCACGCCCAAATGAGACAGTGGCAAGGCGACCAACCTGGAGAGGGGGCAGGTCCCCACCTTCAAGGATAAAGGTGGAGCCTGCCCAAACCTCTCCGACAGCGGCGGCCCCGCCCAAAAGGAGCCTGGTGTTACTGACAGCGACTAGTGGCTTAACCTTGGAGACTGGTGGGGCTGAGACATCCCTCTCGGGTGCACGTGGGGTGAGGCCTGAGAAAAAGCACACACTTCTGACACACACTCTCCACTGCCCTCACGGCCACACCGCTGAAGACAGGTTTGGCTTCTGGTGGTCCATCGAGGGGACAAAGTGCTTTTCCATGAATCCTCATAACAGCTCCATGAGGTAGGCAGGGGAAATGTGACCTTCCTCTTTAACCAACAGGGAAACTGAGGCAAGTAATACATGTAGTCCAGGTCTCCATTTGTTCCTTCCTGGCACAGGGCCTATGTGGTGGTGGTCACATGGGGCTCAGGAGCAGCCCAGATGGGTGCTGGACCCAGGGCCAGCTGCTGAAGAGGTTCTATCCTGCAGGGTGGAGCCTCAGAGCCACCTGGGGAAGAGTACCCAGGGAGGTTTTCCCTAGGAAAGGGCTGCCCACAGCCAGGTAATCTGCACAATCTCTGTGGCCTCGAGGATAGAAAGTTCAGTCATCTCTTTTCCACCAAGAGTGACCTTTCGGAAGAAATTGGATGGCCATTCAAACTGAGAGCCCTGTGTACTTCAGCAGGGTGTTCTCTGGGGCAGTCCCCTGCAGAGCATTCTGCTCACAGGGATCCTCTAAGCCACATATCCAGGTCCTATCACTAGCCCCCTAGAGAGGGGCAGGTAAACAAGTAGATCACAGGTAAGAAAAATAGGCCATTCTCACCCCAAGGAAGGAGGTCCTGCATTTGGCACTGTTTTCTGAGCAGAGCCTTGTGCAGCTCTTGTTCTTAGGGCCACCAGTGTCCCTGGGAAGGCCACAGCTTCCAAGGGGATAGGAATGGGTGGGCTCTTCCTGTGCAGCCTGCAGGGTTCGGGCATGTCGGGAGAAGCATGTCTGAGGCAGCACCCCTCCCTGCTGGTCTGTGGTGCAGGTAGTTAGATGGGTGACCCTGTTGCCGTTCAGCACACTCCTGTCCTGCTGCAAGGGAAGGCAGAGGGCAGGGCTGCCACCCAGGATGAGACCCAAACGCAACATGCTGCTCCAAGGAGCATGGCCTGGAGGGCGCACAGCCCTGAAGGGGGTGCCTGGCTCCTGCAGTTACCTTCTGTGATCAGCTGGCGTGTCAGAGCCTGCACTGGCCACGTCATTGCTGCAGGTGCCACACACACCTGGTTGCCTGTTCCCCAGTTCACCATGATCCTCAATCTCAGCCCAGATACCCACATGGCCAGTTCTGGATGCTCTAGGCCAGCAGGCAGGGCAGGGATGGAGGGTGTGGCACAGCAGGCTAGTGTCTGGGCACTTGGCTTCAGCCTCACACCAACCCCTGCCACTGCTCACCATTTCCCAGGCTGGACACTAGGACATTTGCAGGGACCAAGGCTCAGTCTGGGACAGCACAACACATAGAAGCCTAGCAGTATCTCAGGAATAGCTGAGGGACTGGAAGGGGTGAGGTGGGTGGGCAGGACTGTGGCTCTGTGGAGCCCCAAGGGGACTTCATGAGAGGAACATCTGTTTGGCAGCTACGTCGTCACATGTATTTGAGAGAATTAGAAAGATCTGCTACTATAAAATCTCCCCCACGAGGCTGGAGTTTATTGGGAGCTGTGCGTGGATGGTGCTGGGGGTGGCACCCCCCACACCTGGAGTCTGAGCATGCCTGTGACCCTTGGCCCCTGGCCACCAAGCTCCGAGGCCTATGCCTGCCCTGGGCTCCCTGAGGAAGCAGATCCTGTCTTCCAGGAAGGAGGACATGAAGGCAAGAACCCTTCTTGCTTCACGGGCTCTGGGTGATTCCTGAGGCCCTGGACACTGCCCTCCACCTTCCAGCCTCCCTGCTCCAGCCAGACATTCTGGTTAATAAGCACGGCAGTTACTTGGCGCCCAGCAAGGAGCTGGCCCGTAGTTTTCAGGCTGTGAGTACATCTGTACTTAAGATGGTTTGTGTTTTTGACAGTCTGTCTGTGTAGTAAACTGCAATGTTAACAGAAATGTAGCTGCCCCTCCAGCAGTGGCCACCACAGGGCAGTAAATAGGTGCCTCCAGTGTCCCACACCACCCCCACGGTGGGCAGGGCTAGAAGGTGGCCTTGGAGTGTCCAAAGATGCAGATGGGGAAGTGCTTCACATGGGACGACCACTGAGCAGCCAGCTGGAAGAACTTGACATCGCTGCACTCCACGCCATCGATGAGGACTGCGAGAGAGGGCTGCCTGACCACCTGCCCGCCTGGCTTGCCCACCCACAGAGCAGTCCCTCAGGAAGCTGGGCTGCCGCCAGAGTACAGGACCAGGATCCCAAAGCTGGAGGCGCCCACACCCTCAGGAAGCCCCCTTGCCAGACCCTCTCTGCTACCCACCCTCCCAGGACATAGGGTCTCTGGGGGCCTCAGAGGAATAGCTGGCAGGAGCCTCAGCCAGATGCTGTTTGTCCACCAGACCTCCTCCTCTCAGGTCAGGCCAGAGACTCTGTCAGCCCCATTAAAATATCCCCACTGGCCATCACCATGGGAAGACCGGGGCAGTTCTCCACCTGGAAGCCATGGGACTGGCCTCACAGGGAAGGAGAACCCTGGGAGCTCCACACGGAGTCCAATGTTGTCAGAATGCACCCTGAGAAACACTTAACTCACACGAATTGCTCCTTAACAACAGAAAGGGTTGAGAGTTATTTGAATGAGAAGAACTGTCCGGTACACCCAAGGGCCTCATCACCGTGTGCAGAGAACAGTGTGACGGGCGTTTCACAGTATGTCCTGTGGGAGCTAAAAAAGCTGCTCCCGGCTGCACTGCTCTGCCTGCACATGTGACATAACCCCAGTGGGCCCCAAGTCACCACTGCCCTGCAAGGGCCTGTCTTACCCCGCAGCATGTTCTGCTGGTGCTTGGCTGTGCAGATCAGGCGGCTGATGCCCTCGATGCACTGGCTTTTGGACTCCACATCCTTGTCCTTTGTTTTCTTGGGCAAAAACATCACTGGGAGGAAAAGGGCCCTGTTGTCATCCACTGCTCCTTCTGGGCCAGGCTGACCAGAGCCGCCCTGCAGCAAGCAGGACAGGAGAGCAGTGGCCAGAGGGCTGAAGAGGAGTTGAAGGGGCCTGGCTGGCTACAGCTCTCAGACCCCTGTTGTCTACGATGCCCAGCTGCCTGCTGTGACCACAGGCAGACACCCTCCACCTGTCCCGTGGCCTCCAAGGGAGGCTCTGGTCACAAGGTGTCGGATCCTCAGTGCCCCCTAAGGCTCACTGTTGTCTGGGAGACCCCCCTGAAGGCCAGCCTGGGCCCCTTGGGTGTATGGGGAAACCACACGTGGGTGGTACTAGGAGGTGAAGGCCCTCATCCCCAATTCTCATGGACTGCCCTCTTCCGCTGTGCAGCCCTGTGCAGCGTGCCCCCACCTCACCCTTCTTGTTCTTCTCCTTGGTGACCACCGTCATGGACATGGTGGGCGTGGCTGCAGCCTCACCACTGCTGGGCAGCCTGCTGACCTGGAGGGACCGGAAAGTGCACTTGAGCGTGTTTTTGGTGGTGGGCAGGTCCTTCTTCTCGGTGTCCCTCTTCCTGTCCGTGGGTTGTGCTGCCGTCCAGTAGTCCACCTGTAGCCCCATGAGCTCGGCGCCAGCGCCCTGGCTGTGAAAGGCAGAGGGAGACACTCACACTCAGGGCTATGGTCCTGGTAACAAGACATCACTGTCCTCACGGGCAGGGAGGTATGCCAGCACCTGTCCCAACAGCTGGACGGCCAGACATTCTGAAGAGCTGTCTGTTCACGGGACCCATACCATTGCCATGCCAAGGAAATCCACGCACTAGCTGGGCAACTCAGACTAAGCACCCCCTCAGGAGGTGTGGCCCAGTGTGAATTGGCAGTTGGTGAAGCTCAGGGAGGGCCTGCTGGAGGGCCCTGGATGAGGAGCCAGAAAGTGCAGTGTGAGGAGCACACATCTCCAACTTGGCTCTGGAGAGACCCAGGGTGGCCTGGCAGGACACCAGTTGGTCCTGTGTGGATGGTCTGAGGAGCACGTCTCCTCTGCCCACCCGACCCCATGCTCTCTGGAAAGCCTCACGTGCAGAGCCAGGTTCATTTATAGGGTGGTGGCCCCTGCCGTGGTGCTCGGTGGGGAACAGGTGCACCTGATCTGTGGCAGCAGGTGGCCAGCTAGGATCGAGCCCCCAGACTCCACCACAGGATCTTAGCCTGGGCCTGC